ATTACAAAATAATTTTCATTAAATACATTACATTAAATGTTTTTTTTTTTTCTCACAATTATTATAATTTTTAACTCCTATAAAGTTTTGAATTCTAAAAAGCACCAAATTAATCTGTCTATATATCTATACTATTCTAAAAGTTTAAGACCCTGAAATCATCTTATGATTCATACCTTATTAATATTTTTTATTTGACTTTTATTTATTTCAACAAATACGCTCTTGAATAGTTGAATGACATCTATTTTTTATATTTATATCTCTTACATATTTATTTAAATTTTATTGCTTATTATTATTCCTTCAGTGCTTATATCACTTCAGTTGTCCATCTAACATATATTTAAATTTTATTATTTATTATAATTCATTCAACAGTTATGTCACTTGGGTTGCCAACATTGAATACTACTTATACTACTTACATAGTTGAAGTGGAAGCATTTTATTTATGAAATATATATATACACACACACACACACACACACATAAGCATTTTTAAAAATTATTTAGATACTTTTCATTATTTTTAAATTATTTAATATGAATTAAAACAAAAAACTAATACTTTTTAAAGCTAAATTATCTTTATTAAAATTTTCCTAAATCACAAGTCTTTTCCTTTTCTCAATACGCATCATGTGGTACACTTTTGATTATTTCGATCTATATACATTTTCATTGATTTTAATTATTTTATATGAATTAAAATCAAGAATTAATACCTTTCAAAGCTAAATTACCTTTATTAAAAAAAAATTCCAAATACACACACACACACACATATTATATGTATACTTTTCTATACAATAATTTGAATGAGTTATAAAACACTATACATTAAATATTTTCTTACCAACAATTATTATAATTGTTAACTCCTATTCAGTTTGGAATTATAAAAAACATTAAATTGTGTCTCTACTTTGTATATGTTGTAATTATTTTTATTTAACTAGTTGATATATATATATATATATATATATATTTACAATTTTATATGATTTTTAATCACATATATGATCATAATTATTATTTATATTATTATATTATATAAAATATTATTACTTGTTATTATTATATTTATATTATTCAATGATCAATTTACCATGCACGTGAATTTTGCTAGTATTATTAAATATTCCTCTATTTTTTTGTGAAGGTAAGTCTAAGTGTATTTAACCCTCTCCCACCTGGTGTCTAATAAGGCAAATACCCCACTCAATTTTTTATATTTTGATTTTTTATTTGTAATTTTTTTAGTAATTGTAAACATGAATTTCATCATTACAAAAAAATAAAATAATAAAATAAAATCCCCTTTTGGCATCAATATTCCATGACCATTAAAAATATCTTCATTGAAAAATATTTTCTTTTTTAAAGTAATATATATATATATATATATTTTTTTTTTTTTGGTGTTTGATAAAGGTTTAGGTCAAGGTTGAGGCCGAGATCGAGTCCATAAGGTGGGACGTGTAAAATAACTTAGTAAAAATTAATGAGTATAAGTTATTTTTTTTAAGTTTTAATATATTTTTTTCTGTAAATTTTGCGACAATTAAACACTAAAAAATATATATTTTACATCAACAGAGCCTAAAACAATCATTAGAAATTTTTTGAAATGCTAATCAACACCTACATATTTGAATGTTTGACTCAGTAAAACAATCATTAGAAAATTTTCGAAATGCTAATCAACACCTACATATTTGAATGTTTGACTTCATGGTTAAACATTTAAATGATTGTCTTTTGAGTTCCTATCTCTCTCTATATATGGTTCTGTAACAAAAACTACTAATAGATAGGGGTTTTGAAGATAACTGATTGGAGGAATGAGTAATTGATTGGTGAGGAATGAGAAATATGCTCAACTTCTATGGGTAACATTGTCCAAAAAATTGTGTATTTTCAATGCTATACAAAAGTAGACACTCATTTGACACATAAATGCCACATGGATTCATTTTGTAAAGAGCAGTGATAGAGAAATCGAAGGTTTCTACCGAAATAAACAACGAATCTTATGTGGCTTTGTCCACGTCAAATAATTTCATTACCTAACTCCTTATCATCAATTTTTTCTCTCCCAATTTCTCCTTTTTTCTCTCTCTTCCCTTCGTTTCTCTCTCCTCTTCTCTGTGTCTGGTTTTTCACCAATTCTTCTTATACATCCTCTCTCTCTTGATATACACATATCCAAAGTATTCTAGAGACAAGATCAAAAATTGTTCAAAATTGTCTCCTTTTTCAACATCACCTACTTTTCTCTATTTATAAATCTTCCAATAATAAATCTTTCCAATCCAAGAAAAATATGCAAAAGATTTTTTTTTTTTTTTGGTAAATAAATATCCACACAAGAGTTGCCATTACAAAACACATTAATCTCTTACGGAATAAAAAATAAATAAATAAACCCAGAGAAGAGAAACGATGAATCTTCTCAAAGTTTCTTTTTGATTTTTCCTTTTCATTTACTTTTTTGTTCTGGTTTGGTTTTGTGTTTCTGTATTTGCAAAACATGAAGAAATATATTTATTTATTTTATTTTATCTTCAATTTTGCGAAATAAAAAAGAGAGACAAAACCAAAATCAAAGATAAAATTGAATACAAAAGAAAAATCGAGAATCAAAAATTAGAGGAAGAGAGGAGAGAGAAGGGAAGAGGTAAGAGTTATGTTTTTAAAAAATAATCTGACGTGGCTGAGCCACGTTAAATTCGACCTTTTATTCCGTTGTTTGATTCGGTTCTCTTATCATTTTCTTTTTGTAAAATAGAATATATAATGTCCGTGCAAATATCATTATTCACACACACACACACACACGTGTGGAGTTTCTATAATAAAATGAGTCATAATTTAATTGATTTAAAAATTGAACAAATTCAAGATTGACAAATAGAATATGTAGCAAATTGTGTACATAAAGAATTGAATGCATCAATCGATATTTATGTTTTGTATTTGTTATTTATGCATCAATCAACCTTTTGATTTTAACCACCCCATATTATCTATTCTAACTGATGATTTAATTATTTCTGCATTCCCTCTTTAGCATTTTAAGTGTCCTTGGAGCCTTTTGGATGTTTAAGAAACCATTTAGAAAAAATGGCAAGGGTTGTACAATTTACACTAGTTTAAGTGCTTGTTGATAGGGTGTTTGACCTTTCAAGGTTGTCCATTGGACGTGGTAATTGCAGCAAGTGCTTTGGAATTCTTTTTTTAAAAGTTGCACAGCCAAACAGGTTCCTGTGAGAAATATTTAGAGCCTTCGCATGTGTACAAGAATGATATGCCTATGATATTGCTATTTCATTTCTAGCACTTAACAAGAAAATGATACAATTGCTCAGACTGGATATACGGATGCAATTGTTCGGGCGGGAGAGTCTCTGGTCGGAATCATCTACCATCACCTCTGATACTTTGTAAGAAGTAGACTTCTTGGCACCAGTATATGATCCATTCAGAATAGATACTCTGGAATAGGGCTACCGTTGAATATGTTGTTCTCCATCTCAAGGTGAACTCAGTGTCCACTGTTGTATATTGATATACACGCATATGCAGGAATATGTTAGGAAAATCGCCGAACTGACAACTCTGAATAAGGTGATGTGAGTGGGGCGTATGTCATCCTGACATAAGTGATGGGTCCCACACCATTGCTCACATCCATTCAGAGTTATCTGACTTTCAGACGTGTTATCATCGTTATTAAAGTTATGAGTTAATACTTGATATAAAAGTGGATCCTCCTGTTTGGAGATGTTGATGAGTCATGTTTTATGTTAGTTGACATGCAGGCAACATACATATTTCTTTTACGAAGTTACTTAGTCTTGGATGTATTAGTACTTTATCTCATTGTTTACCATTTTTTCCTCGATTAATGATACTTTCTTGAGCGAATTGAAAAGAGATGTCGAACAAACCTAACAAACATAATCTCTCAATTTGGAAAGATAAATCTTTACACTTCAAAATATCTCAACCGCTTTTTCCTCTCTTTTTATTTTATTTATAAACTTTTACAATTATTCTAGAAGTTTCTCCTTTAGTCTTCCGTGTTGGACCGATCTTTGGGCTCCTCTGGGACACCGGCTCATTTCCTTTGCTTTGAAATTGGGCTTGAAGATTGTCTCAATGGATGTTGGGCCTGATGAGTGGTCATCTGATCGGACTAACTGTTCTTTTCTGATCCAATCTTTAGTGATATGGGTCATATCCGACCATTCCATTTTTGGTATCTTCACCTCTCCTTTGAATGCACTCAAAAAACTGCATCACTTGTATGTTTTCGGTTCCCCTTTTGATACTCGCTCCTAGAAGAGAATATCATTTTCCTTCTTACTTTATATTATAATTATGAAATTTGGGATGATTTTCTGGAATCTAATAAATAAAAAAATAAAAAATAAAGTGCTGAATTTTTCATAGGTAGAGTACATTGTGGTCATTGGGCACAGCTGTTGGGTGGGGCTCATGTCAATCCCAGGTCTATTCAAGAGAGGAGTGTCAGGGTTCGAAGTTCGAAACAGGATGGCGGTTTTCATTTTTGCATTTAATTCAGTAAACATGGAGTTGCCTTCGAATGCCACCTGTTTCCGATCACTGGTTTATATGCCACGTCCCAACAAGATGTTGCTAGAGAAAGATGGTTTGAAGCTGGGAAACTGTATATGACTTGAACTCAACAACCTTGGGGGGAGTTGCCTTAATTCGAATGCCACCTCTTTCCGTGTTAGTTCTTTTAACCGCAGCTTCATCTCTATTAAATCTGCTTCGCTTCATCGATCAGTCATGAAGGAATCTGTTATAGTTTTGACATCATCAGGCATCTGTTATAGTTTTGACATCATCAGGCGTGTTGGTTCTTTTAACCCCAGCTTCATCTCTATTAAATCTGCTTCGCTTCATCAATCAGTCATGAAAGATTCGGTTTCGACATCATCAGGCATGGAAGTGAGCAGTACACATGCTTTTACAATTTGTACACATATATGCCTTCAAATTATTCACTTTTACAATTTGTTTATGCATGCTCCTTTTTTCTCTATTTCTACAAATATAGGGTAATATTGCATTTCGGATTAAAAAATAAAAATTTAAACATCCCTCAATAAAAATTTAAACATCCCTAAAATCGCCTAGACCAAAAAAGAAAAATAAGCACGTCTATATATAGCATCATTTGCTGCCTCTGGTTGAGTTGTTGAGGGAGGCATGCTTGGAAATTCATAAACTGAACTGATTCGAGTGGCGGTGATAATCTAGAAATTCTCGCATGACAGCAACCTTCTTAACATGCTGATATAGGCCTGGCAGGCAGGGTACTGGTTGAGTAACCAACTGAGGCGGTTCTTCATGGAGTTTGGTCTGTTGAGTGAAGTATATAGGGGTTATGAGGGTTGTTAACTAGTTACTTTGGTTTGGTGAAAGAGCTGCTGGTTGAGTTGTCCGGCCACCTTGACCTTAGTTGTCATCGGTGAATGACCTGCTGGTTGAGTTGTCCAGGCACCTTGACCTTAGTTGTCATCAGATATTGTCAAGGCATCTTGACCTTGGTTGTCATCAGATAGTATCAAGGCACCAAGACCACCAATTATCAGGGCGTTGTCATTAGGGATTAGCTGGGCCATATCATCATCTACTTGGTAAACAGTTTTTTGGTAAAGCAAGGCAAAATGTGATTAGAAGACCTTCATCGAAATACGATCAATTATGCCCACAAGTTCCTTAGGTATGTGCTCAAGTGTCTCAAGAGCTGATGCAGGGATGTCATGAGTACCTCCTTTTGAAATTAATATCTATCTGACCATTCTGGTGTTTATCAGCCACCATTTTTGTCATTCTTTTTAATGTGACAGACTGCGTAGTCAAAGTAAATTCTGCGCAATCTAAAAAGAATGGCAAAAATGGTGGCTGATAAACACTAGGATGGTCAGATAGAGATTAATTTCAAAAGAGGTCGACATCCTGCATCAGCTCTTGAGACACTTGAGAGCACATACCTCATACCTCAGGAACTTGTGGGTGTAATTGATCGTATTTCGAAGGTGCCTTGCTTTACCAGACAAAAAGTAGATGATGATATGGCCAAGCTAATCCCTAATGACAACGCCCTGATAATTGGCCCTGATAATTGGTGGTCAAGGTGCCTTGACAATATCTGATGACAACCAAGGTCAAGCTGCCCAGACAATATTCGATGACAACACAAAAGGAGAAAATGATGACAACACAAAAGGAGAAAATGATGACAGGGATTAGGGTATTGATCACAGAAGGAGAAAATGATGGCAGGGATTAGGGGTATTGATCTTAAACAAACTTCATGCTTTTACCCCTTTGGCAGATTCTCATGTGTGATCTTTTTGGATTTTTTTGAAGTGATAAAGACCAATTCTTCTCTGCACCAGTATTTTGAAAATGTAATGCGAAATTGAGAGTTTGACCTTCATATGTTTGAACTTGTTAGCTAAATAGGTCATCTCCATCATATGAGAAATCATCTTCTGACCCTCTATCAGTCTCAGCTTCAGTTTCTTCTCCCTGGAGAGCAGCTTCCCTTCTAGAGTGTGAAGGCAGTCCTATTGTCATCAAAAGTCATTTTAGATGTCTTTGAGATTAAACCTGCATACTTACTTTAGAGTCCTTCTTCCTAGAGCCTTGATGCTGTTAACTATCTCATCAACTCACTTTTGCATGTTTCATACTGGACTTTGAGCAACTTAATCTTATTCCCCTTGATAATTGTTCTGGCAATCATGTCTAGCCCTACCATACCATCAACTGATTTGGTAGGATACCTCAGTAGTAGCTGCATTCCACACATCCTCCATTCTGATTTTCCATGAATATAATAGTTGGATCCATCAAATAACGTGGACTGTCCTTCATCAGCCATTTGCATCTGCAGGTGGTTAGACCTTTAAGGAATGCAGACCAACGTACCAATTTTAAAACCTTACAGATCCTATGCAGTTGTAAGGTTTCAAGATTTCAGCTTCCTTTAAATACTACTCTTACTTTACTGTTTGTGTTCTCAGTTTGATGATTTGCTGCCTTGCAGGCCGTTGCAGGCTTTCACTGTCTATGTTGTTAGAATGTTTCTTGTCATGCGGCGCCATTGGTGCTGTGCTTAGCCAACGAGCATTCATCTGGGAAAAGAAAATGATGATGTATACACATCACTAAAAAAAGATAGTGAAAATTAATAATATATGCATAAAATTTAAAATTTGAATCCATTGAGGAATTGGGATACTGAGTAGGAAAACAGGAAATTTGGTATAAAAAATTAACCCAAAAAGGGTATTGAATAGTCTTTTGATTCACCCAACAATTCTGTGAACTAACAGCAAGAAAAATAAGAATTAAAATGAAAACTTGGAAAAGAAGAGTAAAGCATAAAAGAAGGGTATTGAATAGCCTTTTGATTCACTTCAATTCTGTGAACTCTCTACTTCACTGTTTGGAGTATTCACATACCTTTTTGATGATTTGCTGTCTTGCAGGCTTTCTTCGCTGCTAGAATGTTTGTCATGTGGCGCCATTCATCTGGGCACCAAAAAATAGTAAAAATAAAAAATAATAATATATGTGGATTGGGAATTGGGATGCTTGAAGATAATTGAGCAACCAAACAGGAAATTTGGTATCGACCCATTGAATTGAATTAACCCAAAAAGGGATTGAATAGACCTTTTGATTGACTTCAATTCTGTGAACTAATTAAGAATAAAAATGAAAACTTGGAAAAGAAGAGTAAAGCATAAAAGGAAAAGAAAAAAAACTTTCGAACTTGAAGCTTGCTGGGAAATAATTAAGACGGTGCAAAACTAGACTTGGACTGGAGGCGAAGGGCTTCTCTAATTCAGATCTGATCTGCCAAAGTCAGTCAGAGGTATATAATAATATATGATGAAAGGGAAAATTTTACAAGGAATAATGTTTTTATTAGTGTAGCCGTCGTAAAATTTTGTCAATAAAAAATATGATAGATTATGTAGAGCAATTTATAAAATATTTTTTATACTTAAATTGTTTTTTAAATTTATTTACTAACAATATATATAAATATATACTAGTAGTAAAACATGATGAAAAGTTATTTTATCAAAATGTGCAATGATTACCCCCAAAATGCAATGCAAATTTTGTTACTTTATATTGTAAAAATAAATAAATAAATTATATTAAAAAGATCATACAAAATTTCACCAAATAGGATTCAGTTTGCAAAACAAGAATTACAGACCTTGATTAGTTGATTTAGAAAAATAAAAAATAAAATAAAACAAAACCCATACATACAAGTTAGCAGTTGCAGAGAGAGAGGGGGGCTAGCTTGAGAGTTGAGATACAGCGGGCCAGCGGCTGAAGCTTGCGAACGGCGAACCCGAACTGGAACAGCTGGCGATGGAAACTGAAAGATATGGGTTTTGATTTTTTGAACAATCTGAAATGATATGCCAATATGGGTTTTGATACAGGTAATTGGTTTTGAACTTTTGATTCTTGCAAACAGATAGATAAACTGAAATATATGGGTTTTGAACTTCTGATTCTTGTAGATTTTGTAGTTTGCAGTTGCAGAGAGAGAGAGATAGAGAGAGAGAGAGGGGGGGGAAGCTCAGAGTTGAGATCGAGAATAGAGATAGAGGCGATTGGGGAGGCTGAAATGATTTGACCTAAAAATATTTTTTTTGCCTCCGTCGCCTTGGCCAGGGCCGGCCCTGGGCTTATCTAGCTTGGCCCTTTATTTTAGTTCTGTGGTTGAGTTGACTTGGCCTTGATTGGGTGGGCCAATTTTGGGTGGGTTAATACTGTTAATAGTTTTTTTTTTAGACTGGACTAAAATTAGTATAGTAAAAAAAAAAAATTGTGGGCTCAAGCCCACTAGAGCCCACCACGCCCTTGTAACTTACCACAAACATAATATGGGAAGAGAGGTTACCGTAATAACGTAATCCAACATCTTCTACCAATTTTTAGAATAATTTTAAATTGAAAATTCAATTGGTCTTTTTTTTTTATATTTTTTATTTTTTTTATTTTTTTATTAGCAAAAAATTCACTCACACATTTATTTTTGTCCCCTACAAAGATTTGAATTTTCGATCTTCTATTTTGAAAGACAGAGAAAAAATATCATCAGACTACAAGGCATTAGTGTTTTAGTTAAATTAGTAAAAACCAAATAAAAAAGATAATATGCGAAAGAGTTTTATAGAGATTTAAATAAATTCTTTTTTATAAAATATATTAAATATATAGTCAATATGTGATAGAGTGTTATAGAAACTCTTCTAAAAATTTTTATAAATGAAAAATATTTAGGTAATACGTGATAGAAACTCTTCTAAAAAAAATTTATAAATAAAAAATATATAGGTAATATGTGATAGGGTTTTATAGAAATTTTTTAAAAAATTCTTTTTATAGTATAAATAATTTTTTTTAATAAAAATTTAATAATTATAGGATAGAAATTAAAAATTGGATAGAAACTCTTTAAAATTAGTAGAAGAATTTTAATACATTGACGAATATTAAATTAGAAACACAATTGGTATTTTATTTTAGTTATTTTAGTTAAGTATTTTATTTTATTTATGTTGATGCGGAAATTCTCACGACTCGGAACGACGGCGTTTACCTGCAAAACAAATGGACGTCACCTCGAATGGCACCGGTGGGATGCCGGCAGTTAGTACTTGTAATCGTATCACATAATAATTATGTATATTCTGTTTAGGGGTTTTTTCTCGTACATTCTTTAACAACTTGGTGCCCTATTTATGGCTGTCGATCGTAATCAAATTGGTCCCGCGGGAGATTTGCTTGTGCGAGATGAGAGGAGATCGTCTGTTGCCAGATTTGTTGGGAATATGCTTTGCTCCTTTGACTTTATCAAATTATGCCAAAGTTATCCTCACCCTGTTAAACCACCTCGTCATTCATTGTCATCAGTCTTATCCGATGGAAATCGTTATCTAATAACGAAATATGCCGAAGAGGTTTAGCGGCTGGTCAAGGTATGTTATTTTTCTCTATCAGTTTATATTTTAAATTAGTAGAAAATTTTATTTTAACTAAAATTAGTAGATTTTTTTTAATACACAAACAAATTTTAAATTAGAAACCCAATTGAATCTGTTAAAAAAAAAAAAAAAAAATTGGAAACCCAATTGATATTTTATTTTTGTTAAATTAGTAGAAGAATTTTAAAATATATAATTATTTTTACTTATCAAAATATATATATATATATATATATATATATATATATATAATTATTTTATTTATTTGTTGTCTTAGAAGAAAAAAATAGGAGTGTATAATAGAAATCCAAGTGGAACAGAATTCTAAATTAGAAACCCCACTAAATTAAAATTCATATTTTATTTTAATTACTATTTTATTTATAAATCAATGATTTAAAACATTTTAAAATATTTGTAGTTTTAATAATATATATATATATATATAATAACAATATAAATATAGATAATAATAATATAAGCAATGGAGGAGGTGCAATTTTTCAATAAACAAGACAAGAGCCAAGTGTGAGTCGGGAAACTTGGAACTTTGCACTTTTTAATTTGATTGAAAAGTGCCCGAGTCGGACGGTGTCTAAGGTGAAATCTCTGTCTCTCTCACGCACTACACACACAAATTCACTACACCTAGGGGTAGTAAATGGGTGGATTGGGCTAGGTTAAAAATAGACGGGTCAAATATAGGTCAAGATCCATATTCAAATTGCTCAGAACGGGTTGAAAATTGACGGGTAAAATATGTATAGGGTCAACCCGTTATAACCCGTAGATCCATTAATTTTTTTTTAATTATTTTTTTTAAATATATATATAGGGTCAATCCGTTAAGACCCAAATTAATGTTTAAAAAATAAAATTTTCTTAAAAATTTTGATATTTACAACATAGAAAAGGAAAATGTAATTTGCATATTTTTTTTAAAAATGATAATAATAATAAAATGACAAGTGAAACCGTCCGATCCGCCCAAAATATTGATATTTAAAAAATAAAATTTTATTAAAAATTTTGATGTTTACAAACATGGAAAAAGAAAATGTAATTTGTATATTTGTAAAAATAAAATAAAAAATGACCCGTGAAACCCGACCGACTCACCCAAAATATTGATGTTTAAAAAATAAAATTTTGTTAAAAAATTTGATGTTTACAAATATGGAAGAAAAAAAAAAAATGTAATTTGTATATTTGTAAAAAAAAAAAAAAAAAAAAAAAAAAAAAAATCCGTAACCCTATCAACCTGCCCAAAATATTGATTTTTAAAAATTTTGCATGTTTACAAATATGGAAAAAGAAAATGTAATTTGCATATTTGAAAAATAAAATAAAATTTGACTTATGAAACCCGACCGACCAGCCCAAAATTTTGATGTTTAAAAAATAAAATTTTTTTAAAAAATTTGATGTTTACAAACATGGAAAAGGAAAATGTAATTTGTATATTTGTAAAAAAAATAAAAAATTGACTCGTGAAACCCGATTGACCCGCCCAAAATATTGATGTTTTAAAAATAAATTTTTCTTAAAAATTTTGATGTTTACAAATATGGAAAAAGAAAATGTAATTTGCATATTTGAAAAAAAAAAATAATAATAATAATAATAATTGACCCGTGAAACCCAATCGACCCTCTCAAAAATTTTGATGTTTAAAAAATAAAATTTTCTTAAAAAATTTGATGTTTACAAATATGGAAAATGAAAATGTAATTTGCATATTTGTAAAAAAATATAAAAAATTGACCCGTAAAACCCGATCGACCCGTCCAAAATGATGTTTAAAAAATAAAATTTTCTTAAAATTTTTGATATTTACAAACATGGAAAAGGAAAATGTAATTTGTATATTTGTAAAAAAAAAAAAAAAAAAAAAAAAAAAAAAAAAAAAAAAAAAAAAAAATGAACCGTGAAACCCAACCTACCCGCCCAAAATATTGATATTTAAAAAATGAAATTTTCTTTAAAATTTTGATGTTTAAAAACATGGAAAAGAAAAATATAATTTGTATATTTGTAAAAAAAAAATAAAAATAAAAAATAAAAACCTGTAAAACCCGCCCAAAATATATGGGTTGGGATTGTGCTGGGTTGGCCAGCCCAACTTGCAGCCCTTCGTGAGAGATAGAAATGAGTTGAATACAATATAAAATAGATGTGTATTATGTGTTTATTATGTGATGGGTGAAATATGGATTGAATATGTGTAACTATATCCAACTCATCTTGACCTTCAAATTAAGTGGTTAAATTATCCAACTTATTTTTGACCCATCTTAAATATGGTTTACTCATAATCATTAAAAAGCGACGGAGGGCGGGTTGATGTCTTGTGACCCATTTTGCCACCCCTACACTACACCTTATGAATTCTATGACGCATAAAGGGTTCTGATTATACACCATATTTGTGTGCATGTATTTTTATTTTGAATTTATCTTGACCAATCCCAATTATATGCGTATATTGTTGTTGGAGCTCGAATTTAATTAATTTAGTCTCAAACTATAACTTCCCAATCTAGCATGAATCAGGTAAGACATTCTGCGAATACCCTTTTAAATGGAGTACTATATTATATAGACACAATGTGATAGAAAAAGAAATTAACTCAGAAAATTGATTTGATGTTATACTTTGCAAACAAGTTCAGATTTTTGAAGTTAATCTGGAACTCGATTCATTTATATTATAGAATTTATTATTTGTAGTGTTCTAATCTTTGCCAGACGTGTAAGAATTCCAATAAAGAGATGTCAATGACACATCTGAAGTGAAATCCTCCCAAATTACAACCCTCCTATTGGGAAGAAAACAAATCCGAGATTCGTTCTAGGAGACTAAAGGGAATGGAAGGTGAAACAGTAACAGACCTACATCTTGCTGCACCTTTTAGTTGTTCAGTACAAAAATGCATCCAACTAGACAACCCAAACAAATATGGTCAACAGATACATTCATATATCTCCGCACAATATCCCACATCTTTTTACTTTTTTTTTTTTTTTCATCCAACTCTTTTGCATTTTACAATATATATATCAAACATGCGCCATTTTTCTTCGAGTTTGTAAGATTGAAGGTCAACAATCCACATACATCATTCTAACCGTTTGCCTTTGAACTTATAGTAGTAATACGGCAAGGAAATATTCATTAGTGCTTGAGAAGAAATCATGAGCAGATCCTCAAATATGGACTTTCAAGTAATCCAAATTCAATTCAAAGTTTGAGTTTGGATTACATATTTGAGGTGACATTGGGCTGGCCCAATTCAACCCAACTTTGAATTGAATTTGGGTTGGGATCAGGCTGGGTTGGGCTGCCCAACTTGCACCCTGCTTTTGATTGACTTCAATTCTGTCAACTAATTAAGAATAATAATGAAAACTGGAGTATTCACATACCTTTTTTATGACTTGTCTTGCAGGCTTTCTTTGTTGCTAGAATGTTTGTGTCATGTGGCGCCATTCATATGGGCAAAAGGAAGGACGGGATGGTGATGATAATTAGTAAAAACAAAATTTGCAATAATAAAAAAAAATCAATAATATATGTGGATTAGGAATTGGGATGCTAGAAGATAATTGAGCAACTAAACAGGAAATTTGGTATCGACCCATTGAATTGAATTAACCCAAAAATGGATTGAATAGACCTTTTGATTGACTTCAATTCTATGAACTAATTAAGAATAAAAATGAAAACTTGGGAAAGAAGAGTAAAGCATAAAAGGAAAAGAAAAAATCTTTCGAACCTGCAGCTTGCTGGGAAATAATTAACACGGTGCAGAACTAGACTTGGACTGTA